GAGGCGGGATGGAGGCGGGGGGCGGGGCAAGGCGAGTTCCTCTTTGCCCACCTCTCACCCCCTAGGCTTCCGGGCCGCCCCTCCCGGCGCCCCAGTTCCTAATTCCGAGGTGGGGTTCGCTGGCGGTATCAGGACTATCACCACAGATAAACGTCGCCGGCAGCGAGGCGTTGTAAGAAAGGACAAGTCCGCACTACGCTTTGGAGCCACAACGAGAAAAGATTCCATAAAAACTAAAGAAAAACAGCGCAGGTCAGAGACAGGAATCCCTCTCTAAATAAAAGAGCCCTTTAAAAGCACATTTTTCCATTTGCATAGTTGGAGGAATTTCGTGCTCCGCCGCGTATAAAACCCAAGCTCGGATAACGGTGACCCACACAATAAACTACCGTGAAAGGATGACACGGTAGTGGAGGAAGCTGTCCTTTTAAGGGTTATTTAAACGAGCTGGTTATATTCTCTCTCTCTCTCTCTCTCTTCTCTCTCTCTCTCTCACTCTCACACACACACACACACACACACACACACACACACACACACTACAGGGAAGGATCTGACTCTAGAGAGAGAAAAGAGGAGCTTGAGAAAAATAGTGCAAAGGAAAAGCAGCAATGGAACATGTAGGGGTAGAAGTGGAACATCAATATAGCTGGACTCTCAAACTGTATTATTTAAAAGTGAAAATAAAACAAGAACTAAACATGCCAGGACCACAAGGGTAGAATAATCAACTTAAATCTGCAGTTCTACAATAATCTCAGTGTATTCTGAACTAAGTATAAGTAGGAGACCTGGTAATTTTTCTAAGCCTTCAAAAAAACTCTAGGTATGCGGGTGGTATACTCATAGCAGGAGTATAAAGGACCAGGGGAGAAAATAATAATGATAATGAACAGCCATATACCAGAGACATTTGAGGGGGGGGTGGAATGGGGAATGGGATAAAAAATGGGGGGCTTGGGGGGGGCACACGGGTGATTTGATGATGGGAAGCCCACGGAGATTACAACTGAGATGGAAAAAGGCACAAAATGATGTAAAAATAAACTAGTATATTATTAAAAAAAACTCTAGGTATGATATAAAGTTGACTAAAAGACTTCAAGTTTACCATGGTTTAAATCGCACACTTAGCAAATTTGAAGAAATATTTTTAAAATGTCAATCCATTTCAGAGAGTCATGAGTATTTTCATTATGTAGTTTTTATTTTAGACGAACATTATTGTAAAAAAAGTTCACCTGGAATAAAATCCATTTTTTTAAAAAAAAACACAGCATCAGTATCAGTACACAGTTAATGAATTGGTTTAAACAAGATTAACCACATGACAGGTCTACTTTATCTGCAGGAGCTTTCACATCAAGCTATTGAAGCAGAAGTAAAATACACTGAAACAAATGCAATAGAATGACTGGATGGAAAACCTAGTTTCCATTAGGGACTTGATTTTAGTCAAATAGTTTAAGCTATTTTGCATTAAAGGAACTGCAGTGTCAGCTGCAAACAAATAAAGCCCATTTGTAAGCCCACAGAATTGAATTATAATAATTAAATTCACATTTTAAAAAAGGTAAGAAAATGAAACAAGACATTCTATTAGTTCTTGGCAATAAGAAATGCAGTTGCATATGGCACAAGCATTTCAAAAAAATGAAGTAAGGTCTGACAATATCCCTAAGAGAGTTTGCTAATTTTCATTTCTGTACATTTAAGTCATTTAAATTTTTTTCATAGTGAACACACTCATTAGTTTTATTAGTCTGAAAATAAGACTGACTCTACTGTAAAATTGTGCTAACATTTGAAATTTTATTAGCATATTCTATCCCTCTGGGTTCCTCTAGGATAGGGAATTTCATTTTTAGACATTTTTTTTACCTCCTTTCTTTGGATATAACAAGAAGGAAAAAGGAATGTCCTTTCTGTTAAAACTTCTAAAAAACCTGATAGCAGAAATGAGTAATTAAGATTTTAGAGAAGCAGCCCAATGTTATGAAATGCCATTTAAAAAATTTCAGCTTAGAAGCTCATCTTTAAAGATTAAGAACTAAGCTTATAAAAGAATCTAAGTCATGATCTAAAAAAGAAAGTCTGTTTAAACATGTTACTTACTGATCACAGGGGGGAAATATATATATAGCTTTAATATTCTCAGCATCCAGAACCTGTAAAATGGAGTTATAATCTTTTATTTAGAAATTTCTGCAAACATTTATCTATATTGCACAGCTAAATTTATTAATGGAGACAGAGAGATAATACTTTTTCTTTTTGCACTAATGGATATAACATATATATTCTACTCTAAACTAGACTACCTCCTACCTTTCTCAATGGTGCCTTTAGTTCAAAACAAAACAAAATCTCAATTGTGTTGGATGTTTAAAGGCTGGCTCACTGTTTTTCTACTAGATGTTAGAAGACTAGTTAGCTAAATGAGGTATAATTAAAAAATAGTCCTTTAAAGTAATGAGTATAGTCATCTGAAAATTTATAACAAAGACTACACAAAATGTTTATGTAAATAGTAAGAAACCCTGCAGCACCTCCTAACTGATGCACAGGTGGATTATTTTCTCATAACTTGTCTGAAATAAAATATAGCTAAAATCAGTTCCCAGTGAAACGTTTTACAATCGACTGATTTATATGCTACTTAGTTATAGCACATTTTCATCACCTTCAGACTATTTGAAAAGGTCTAGTCCAATCATTGTCAAACATTAGCACACTGGTAATAAAGTGCAGCCACTGAACTGCTAAGACTGCTCCAAAAATCTTCATGTACCTTATTCATTAAACCACAAAAATGTTCACACAAAACTAAGTTTCTTCAGTTTCAGCAGGGAACAGACAGTTATCTGTCACTAAATTCATCTACAAATAGAAAAAATAATGCACTGTATGTACATCATTAAGCAAAGTGGATTATTTATTGGGTCATTTTACCATGCAGAAAGTGAATTTCCTATGGTCTTAGCTCAAGTTATGTACAATTTAGCAAAGCTAAATGTAAGAAAATAGCAAGGACAATTTATTTCTATATAACAGAGCATATACCCCCAATTTGCTGCTACTTCAAAGAGCACTTTTAGACTCAGCTAACCTTTACAGGCTCTTTCAAAGGGAAGTTCATGGAGACTAGTTATTAACCCATATAAGACAAAAGAAAAGAGAACAAATAAAATAAAAGCAAAGTATCTGTTAAAAGAAAAGCTAACCACAGAATATGTCAGTTTTGGTTTGCAGACAACCCCTGAGATATAAATCAAAGTGTTAAGACACCAAATAGAGGTAAATTACCAAGAGAATTACATTCATACATGGTGTCATAGCACTTGCCTTTTAGAAAGTACTTTGTTACCATCCTGAAAGCTTAACTGCTCCGATCTTCTTCAGAAAATCAGTGACTACTAGACATTTCTAAGAAATTATTTTTTCTTTCCAAGAATGTATCTAATTTTAAAATGATAAACTCACAATCAAGAAACTACTGATTATACTGGGACACCAAACAGGTGCCTCCCAGCCTGTAAGAAGCACAAAGAAATCAAGGAGGCTGAAATTTGTCAGCAATACATTTAGTGTATCCATCAAAAATAGCTCTGATGTAATTGCTGCCACTAAAGTGTATAGAAGTTTCCAAACAAGTAGTAAAGGTTGACTGGTTTACATATTCTAATGATAAATCTTAATTTGAAACAGAGTTCTCTGTGGTAATAAAGCATTTCCACTTTCATCTTCCATTCTCAAATGTATCAAGTATGACAATGACCCTTGAGAAACGAAATAGTCATAAGAGGAAGAATAATTGACGGAACTCATTTCCCTAACCCACTCTTTCTGCTAGAATAAGAGCAATGACATCATGATCTGAATTTGGCACATAAGGTAACACGAAATGCTTTATTCCCCTTATGTGATGGTTTCATCCACAAAAGGTTTACCAGTCCCAGTGTCTGACGAGAAAGGCAGTGAAGCTTTTGGTTGGCTTTGGTCCAAATGACTGGACCACAATCTGTAGCAATGAATCTGAACAGGTGGAACTGGGGTTCTATACATTCAACAGCTTTTTCAACACTAAAATCTTGTTCATACTTTTTCTAATGAAAAGGCAAGACTTTTCCTAAATGCTGCATTAATTCTAATTATTTTCATTAAACAAACAAAAAAACCCAAATATGAACAGAATCAAGTTATCTAAGCAAGATCTATCTCTATTAAATTTATATCAGAAAGTTAATTTGTCTGCCTGCTGGTAAGTTTTCTGCAAACTAAAATCTAAATCTAACTGTTGTTAACTCTTGCAGAGAGGGAATAGATGATAAGGAATTAGGTATTACAACTAAGCCAGCAGCTAAGGAGCAAAACTTAAGAAAATATACATACATATACTGATGTGACATAATTAAATGCTGAAATAAAACCAAAAATGGTCTCTCTCTTTCAACAAGTTTAAAATTAGAAGCAGATACCAGTATTCCGACATGTTTTAGATAGCTGGGTAATTATAACCAATCAAACACAGGAAGGGAAAGCATATCAAACACCAAGAAAAATGAGATTAAGGTGATTTTCAAATGCAGTTCTATAGATTAGGCAGAGGTAATCAATTGAAGAAGTGATTTATTCAGCTATGGCAAGATGATCAGAAATGAAGCAAAGATGTAAACAATCCTTAGAAATAATTTGTGACCTCTGACGACTGGATGGGCGTTTTAAGAAAAATCTTACCAGATCTTAATGATCCTTATTTAGGAAAGTCACTAATTAGAGCCCTTTGATAAATGCAATCACTGCCATAACATCTGTCATTTGAACCAGACTAAATGTCCTTTATGTCTCAGTATGTTAACCTCTGCTTTCAAGGTTCCACCCTTTTAAAAACATCCTTAAGTGCACAAATTTGTCTAGGACTTTATGAGACAAAAGTGTGCAAACACAAATTGCAGACTGTGCTGTAAATGGGAAAGGCTAATACTTATGTGCAAACTGGAAAAAGAAAGATAGCAGCTTCTGCAATAGGCAATAAAGAAAATACAAGGTGAGTCCTGCATGTGTCTCCACGTCATTGCTTCCACGTTTGAAACAAGGAGCCTGTCATCTTGCTAGGCTGTGAGGCTGGAATCCACTTGGCATTCTCTGTCTAGAAGTCTAGGTTCAGTGATGCTCTCAGCAGCAGCTGGCGGTGTGATTCTGAGGCTGGGTAACCTGTGCTTTCAGAGAAGCAGGAAAGGGTCCTCTAGGTGTGCTGCAGTCTCTCAGAAAGAGTTCATCAAAGAAGCAAGCAACGGAAGAAACTGGTCTTCTTTGATCGGTTTTCTGTTATTTTCACTGGTCCACCTCCCCCTGAAGAATTGCTGTCATTCTGAAAAATAAAAGATAAAGTTGCCAAGGAAATAAAGTTTCATGATTTGATCTAATTATTTATATACAGTATTGTATTGGAAAGGGAACTAGTTAAGCTCTGATGCTTATCTGCTCCTTGAATATCAGTGAGAAAAAAATGTTTTTAGGATACCACCTTTCTTATTAGTTATAAATAAGATAGGAAGTTCAGTTCCTACTTCTAATTCAAAGAAATTATAGCCAGTGGAGTATAAAGTTTCAAGGGTGGTTAATGATGGAAACAATATTAAGATATTGGCATAGACTGTCCTGCTAGAAGTAAGAAGAGTTGGTAACATAAGATGTACAATTATGTTCACGATTCAGGTCAGAACAAACTTTTAATGTGATCCTAATGACTCACTGTTGATAGTTTCAAGTTGAGCAAACTTTTAGCAACTCCAGAATTATAATTACAACAGCAACAGTTAAGAAATAAGAAACCTCAAGAAGTAATCAAATTTCAACCAAGTGAATATGTATGTCAAGAAAAAAAAGGGTTTGATAGGAATGGATTATAACTAGGCCTATCTTTTCATCAAATAAATAATGAGCATAAGTAAGAAAAACTTTTAAAGAGCATACTGAAAATAAAAATAATACAAACCATTTTTCTGTTGAGTTTTGTCATTATGTCTCGTGCCAGTGTAAAGAATGCCTAAAGGTAAAAAAAACTACATTACTAAACACGATATATGTAAAAATAAAAATATAGAACTCTATTACTTTGTCATAAAATGTAAATATATTCCTTTAAACTTTGTGAAGATAACATAACTAATTATAATATACACAGGAGTGTCATATCTTAATTTTTAATTAAATATTTTTCAATGTTATCAAGCTGTCATTCATTCAGTATTTCTGTACATCATATCTGACACAAATTCCTAATATGACACTTGTTAAGTTATAGGTAGCTTCCTCATACCAAGAGCAACTGAGAGCAGAAACTCTATCTACATCTCTTTCCCCAGAGCAAAGTGCTGATTTGGAGATGCTGGATTATCTGTTTATTGGGTGAATGAGTAATTATGTCCTACCCTGCAGCTCTGAAATCTGTCTTCACAAAAATCTCTACCACTTATTTTATATACCCCTCTCTTTCAAACTGGTTTCACTCTTATGCCTGAAAATACAAAATCGTCCACATCTTAACACTCCAAAATCCCAATAGCTCCTATAGTTTAGCTAAATTCAACACTGTGGAAATCTGTTCAAATGAAAGCAAGACAAATCTAATTAACCTCAGTGATATATTACCCCAGAGTCTCTTGACCCACACCAAACTCTGTTTAAGATATCATTACTACTTTGTGCCTACAGAGCCAAGACTCAAGACTTCTTCACTGTCAGCAGGCCCATCAGCCTCTTTGTTTCCAACCATTCCTCATGCCTCAAAAACTGTTCTACAAATAGAAACAATACGATAACTACTGTTATATCACTCACTGTCAGTGTCTCACTGTTACACCTGTGAGAATACGTTTCTAAATCAAGCCATCCCAGTTTTTTTTTTTTTCTTTTAAGATTTATTTATTTATTTGTGCATACAGAACTGGGGTACAGGCCAGAGATGCAGGGGCGGTGAAAGGACACACCAGAGACAGAGTGGGGAGCAGAACAGGGAGATTGACGAAGTACACTGCTGAGGGGAGCAGCAGGCGGGTCAGGAGAGGTCTGCTGCACCATGTGGTCACCTCCGGGGCAGGTGGGGATCGAACTCATGCGGAAGTGGCTTCAGCTTCTTAGTGCTATTTCACCTGCTGTTGTGCCACCAGGGAGGGCCCATCCCAGTTTTTAATGAGCCTGACCACACTATGTTAAAACTCTGGGGAAATTACTAATTTATGCAGAACATCTGGCCAGAATAAGCAGCTCTGGCAACTCCCATGGAACCAAGTAAGAAAATGTGTGGTGGCTCCATAACTCAAGACTAAACCACAGCTGTAATCAGAATGCAGGTATAACAGTGACCTAACACTGCTCCATTAAGACAGAGCATGAAGTTTATTCTGTGGAAGTAATCCTATGTTGGCCATCTCAGTGAGAAAGCTTTTCTCCTGCTTCTATGGTTAAAGCTGACTTAAGAAATTCCCCTTTTGTGGAATTAATATGAAAGGAAATTCTTTTGTATTAAGCATAAGGAAATATTTTTCTGCCTATCTGTGTGTAAATAAATCAATAGAGACTTCCTGTTTCCTAACATCCATTAGCAACCTGGAAAAATGAGTGTTAGTTTTTTAAAACAACATGAAAAAAGTTCCAGTCAGCGTCCACTACCCAATTTTTACATTTGATGTTAAGGTAAAGAGTGAGTGTGTATTAAATGTTAATAATACCGTTAAGTGAATTCTATGTATAAACACATACTTCTATTTTTTGATTGGTTTAAAAAATAAATTTTAAATATAAAATATTATCAACAATTCTGTCCATGGTAAAGAAAATCTACCTTGGAGCACTAGATGCTGGGTTTGCTTAGTTAACTTATCAAAAATGTATTAAAGCTACTCTCTGATAAACACATCTTATTTCTACTAAATGCCCACTGTGTTACAAGGTATCATACTCAATCTACTTCCAAATGTGTACACTAATGGACTCAGCCCAATGAGCTCACACGTTCCTGCTTGAGAGGGTACACAGATAAAAGTAATTAAGATTCTCCTTTATATAGGATGCCATGTACGATGACAAATGAACAGGGGACACTGCTGGGTTGGCTAGTGCAGGATTTCAGTCTCCTAATAGACAAAAGGGAAATCTGAACTGAAACTGAACTTTAATTTTCTCTTTTTTGAACCATCATGGAACAATCTGATATATTCTATGTGGAGGATGGGTACTAGAAAGTCAACAACCTGGATCTACAGAAATGTCAGAAACACCAGTGTACACAAAATGAGGAGGTGCTCACACAAGGCATTCACCAAGTTAGAAAGACTTTGGGAGTCCTCAGAGTACAGACACCTGAGCACTAGGCTGCTACAGAGCAAGTGACCAAACATTTCTTACCTCTTCTACATTTGTACTGGATTTTGCACTTGTCTCCAAGAATTTAATCCCATAGTCAATTGCTAACTGAAAGGCAAACAAATGTTTAAATTCAGTAAAAGTTGCTTTTGTATGTCCTAGGTTTTACAGAGCCCCAGAGGTACACTATCTAGTTCAGAACTCCTTTGGTTCGCAAATTTCATTTCTTTCTTCAATTGTTTAAAATTTAGACATCTGAATCAGTCATCCTAAGTAAAATGGCACAACTTCTACTCAAAACACAATTTAAGCACTTCTTTCCAATTATATTTTTAGTTTTCAAGGAAACTAACAAGAAAAACAATGAAACTAAAACTCTCAAAGCTGCCATATAACTTGGGGTTTTTTGCCCCCTTTTTTTGCTCCCAGAGTACAATTCTTCAACTCCAGTTCTGACCTTAAATCTTAAATTTTTTTTTTTAAAGATTTACGTATTTGTGCATACAGAACTGGTGTACAGGCCAGAGGTGCAGGGGCGGTGAGAAGATTCACCAGAGTCAGAGTGGAGAACAGAACAGATGGACGAAGTACGAAGTACACTGCTGAGGAGAGCAGCAGGCAAGACAGGAGAGGTCTGCCTGGGCCATGTGGTCACCTCCAGGGTAGGGGATTGAACTCACACTGAAGTGGCTGCCCACGGCTCACTAACCTGTCGTGTCACCAGGGAGAGCTGACCTTACATTATTTTTTAAGAAACTGATATATAATATAACAAAAGCTTAAAATACTAACTACTCATTGATTTGGTTTCTGTTGGTTGAGACAAATGGTGAACTCGTCCCTATTTTCATCAACTCCCAAGGAGTCTCCAGTTTATTTACAATACTAAGACTAAGTGAATGTTTTTAGGAGGAAAATGTTTGCAGACAAATTGAAAATCAAAATGCATTTTGTGTGTATCACTAAAAAAAAAAGAAGCTAAATACCAAGATTTAAAAATTAAAGCCTGTAAGTCAATTTAGAAAATGTCAAATAAGTAAAGATGCACAAGACACAAAATAAGAAAACATATATATATGACATCCCACAGCATGATGAATTACAAGCAGTTTATCCATAATGACATATATCTAATATATAGTAAAACACTTCGAAAATTATGAGTTAGACAGTAATCAAAACTTCCCCTGTCTTATTACCTTTGTTTTTAAGAGAGAATGAATTACTTTTACTTCAAAACTGGGCATTTCACACAGATATGTGAGAAAGTGCTTTAACTTTAAGCTGTGGGAATCTTAAAAAAGACCAATTTGTATCTCTGAGAAAATAGTAAATTCTTTAGGAATGAATCATGACTACATAGACTGTGGAGTTAGATCTGGAATACTAATTCACACCATTCAAGTATGGATTATGTCTATTTGTGTGGGGAGGTTTTAAGTTTACAATATAGATAATGTGAAAACAAATCAACAATTAGAGTAAAAAAATAACTTTTGTTTGAGTAGATTCTAATCTTCATGCATTCAGAGGGAAAATTTACCTTTTCTCCTCTTTCTTTTGACACTTGTCTTTTGTCATTCATATCACATTTGTTACCCAGGATCATTCTTTCAACATCTGAAGAGGCATGCTGTGGAGAGGAAACCATGTGTTATAAAAACAGCCTGAGAAAAATACAGCTATTCAGTAGACAAACCTAAATCTATCAGAAACAAATCCGTGAATTTAAGACAAGTAATTTTATACTCACCAGAAGGCCTGATTCAGAGAAAAGTTTAAAAGATGGAAGGAGGGGGAAAGCTACTTAAGGCTTTTACACATAAACAGAAGTAAAATATATGGTTATCTAGTGAAAAAAAAAGGTGAAATACTGGTTTGGGTCAAAGAAAAAAAAAACTTACTGAGTAAACCAACAGGGAAGGTATTTTGGATTCAAAAATACTTTAAAAATAAATGTAAGATAATGTAAATATGTACAAAATTATTTCAATCAGATTTCTTTCCAAAATTCCATACATAACAAAAAAAAAAAAAACCTTAATACCAATAAATCAAAATTCAAGTATCTAAGATGGAGAAAATGTTAGAAGGCAAAATGATAAGTCACCAGAATAAAGATATATTTTTGCCAGTCAAACAGCACAGTAGAATAAGAGAGAGACCCTAAAATCAGATGTTTTAATTCCAGCTTTCCTTTTTACATAGTATATGAGCACAGGCTTCTGGCTTCAATTTATTTACAAAAACGGTGTAAAATAGGGACTTGGATTACTTTATTTCTAAGATTTGGCCCCAGTTTATAATTCTGAGAAGTAGTTCTGTGTACCCTCAGTCTGGCAGGAGTCACACCGGCAGCCTGGGAGAGCTCTCCCTCCACTGCTCGCTGACAGTGCTCACCTGCCCATGCCCTATTTCTTAGCATCTTGGATGCCTTTTCAAAAGATAAAAAGAGCCCTTTATAAGAATCCAGCATGTACCCTCATTCCAATATCATTGTGATGATCTCTAGCATTATCACTCCTTTTCCATTCATACCTCTTCAATGTTCCTTATCCAATTTTTAATATTGTCAAAGGACTTTTCGTTTGTGATGTCATACACCAGCATAATTCCCTGTAAGAGATAAAAAATTAGGCTTTATACATTTAAAGTTATAGGATATAACATCAATATACTCTTCCTTTTCAGAAACCATTGGTTTGTCCTTTTTTAATCTTTGTAAAAGGGATTCACAATACATTTAAAAAGTATACAGAAGCAAAAATTAATTCTGTTGTTTCACAATGTAGATAAATACCGTTTTCAGTTAATCTTTAATGAATTAGTGATTACAGTAAAGGTGATACACCCTTTATATCAGCCTCACAGATAAGAATCAGCTGTAACTGGAGCTGAAACAGTGTTTAGGTTAAAACAAAGATAACATTGGGAGTAAGAGGTAATTAGATCTGTTAGGACTTATTAATCCCAAGAAGAAATTGCCTTCTTTCTTTCCTGTACTAAGACTGTAAACACACTGATTTAAAACTATGATTTTTTTTTTAATTTGAGTTGATCAAAATGTCATTTCATGTCCAAATGAATTACGAGTGTTAGATTTATTATGCAGATTTAATGGAAGACATGTCATCAGATTTTTAAAGCCCACCCATGTCTGGTATTTCTAAAGTTTATCTTCTAAATGTTTCCACAAAACCCTGATGTGATCTAGTTCAACATCTCATCCCCAGACCATTCCACTTCCATACCAAGTGCTAGACCCATCCACCCATTCATCCATTCAACAAATATTTTATGAGACCTGTGTGCCTGATGCTATGCTGATTGTAACCAGCAGTGAACAAGATAGATAATGCCCCTTTCTATCAAGGATGGTGAGCAAAAAAAATAGACAATCAATCAGTAATCATATAATTAATTCTAATTTTGACAAATGCTATTATGAAGCATGGAAAGCTCTGATTTCAGATGCTCATCTAAGCTACTTGAGTACTGGAGTGTTCAGTAATGGCTTTCCTGAGATAGTAACATTAAGTTAAGGCCTACAGATTCAGTAGACTTGAGCAAGGCAGAGGAGTGAGGCTGGGGTGAAAAGGAGAGATGCACACATAACCTGACACATAGCAGAAATGTTATAAATTATTTTGCTGACCATCAAGGCCCAGAACTAACATATTGCATGAAAGTAGGTCAGCTTGGCAAGAGAGCACAGAATCAATGGCAGAAGGGCATAAGATGAGGCTGAAGAGATATTTAGGGGTCAAATATGCATTGGAGACTACTGACTGGACATCAGATCCTACATGTTCCTTGAAGTCACTAACAACTGAACTGCATAAAACACGCAGTTGTGTTCATTCCCTCCTAATCCTCTCTTCCTCCTGCACCCTTATTTTGATGAAAAGCAAGACAGCCTAACAGCCAGCCCAACAGGCCCCAGGGATAATCTCCTTCTAAGGGGGTCAGTAACTAATTCCTACAGATCAACAACCCCAATATTTCCAGAATCTGAAAACCCCCACCACTACCACACATAGCCTTATTCATATTCTCATCAATTAGCCTTTACTTGGATTACTATCACAGTCTTTAATTGATATCCTTGCTTTCATTCTTAACCTCTTCTAATCTGTTTTCCATAAGGACACTAAAAATCCTTGGGTACCTTACCACTGCATTCTGCTTCCATTTCCTAATTTGTAAAATGAGGGCACATCTTCCACAATGGATTCTTTAGAGGATCTACTTGAGATATTATTTTTGAATTTTTTTTAAAAAGACTTATTTATTTATGCATACAGAACTGGGGTACAGGTCAGAGGTGGAAGGGCAGTGAGAGGAATCATCAGGGACTGAGTAGGGAGCAGAACAGGCCGACTGACAAAGTATACTGCTGAGGGGAGCAGCGGGCGGGTCAGGAGAGGTCTGCCGTGCCATATGGATCATCTCTGGGGCGGAGATTGAACTCATGCTGAAGTGGCTTTAACTTCTTAGTGCTGTGCTTCAATCCGCTGCGCCACCAGAGAAGGCCTATTTGTGAAATATTTCACCCAGCATTCAGGACACAACTTGGATTCAAAAATGGTGGCAATTATTAACTTACACCTTTGATTTCAATAGTAGAAACCCTCCTACTGTTTCCTATGTTTGTAAGATAACTGAACCAGTTGAAAATATAAACTCAAGTACACCACTTAAAATACACGCTTCTGAGTGTGTATGTGTATACATACATATACATATGTATGTGTGTGTATATATATCATACCTATAGTAACAACAGTTTCTTAAGTGCTCACAAGACAGTGCTGGTATGTGAGAAATACTGATAATGAAAGCTATGGTCCTTTTTCTCCCCTAAAGGCCAACTGTCCATCAGGATTACTGCTATGCCTACTAGTGTTACTCAACAGTTTGAAACAGACCAAAGGAATCTGCGTTGGTGGTAGACTCCAGCACATTGCTTGCTCACATATTGTGTACCTGAACCAACCGAGCTAAACCTGCCCGTACCACCTCTTACTAAAAATGAGAACATGGAAGCCCAGCATCTCAACAGAAAAGATGATGCAAAGGACCCATGAGTCAAGGAGAGAAGAAATTCCTGAAGATTTATCTAAGATTGTTAATCTGAATATGAAATTTTCCAAGGACTCAGTTCCTTTAGCAGGTATTTATTTTGTATGACAGGCACTGAAATTATAGACCAAAAAAGAAAAAAAGAAAAAAAAAGATATGAAAACCCCTACCTTTAAAATGAAAAAGAAAATACTACTATAGTATAGCATTAGTTTCTAATCATTGGAAATAATGCGAAGACTAGGCAGTAGGTGAAGGAAAACCCTCAAATCTAAACTGAATAATACATTTCAATGACCTCTATCTTCATACCACGATCTAAGTGAAACATTAGCTTCTTATTCCAAATGTTTCTCCCCACTCTGATGAAAATGAACAACAAAAAAAACAACTAGTCAATAGAAAGGCTTTTGTTTATAAGATGCCACTGATCAAAATTAGTAAACTATTCAAATTCATGCCTTGTTAGGATGTTCTTATTTAACCCTAGAGTCCTTCTGGGGGGAACAAAAAACAAACTTCCTCCTGGTACACAAGTCCCTCCCCATGATCCCTATCTAAAGAAAAATAGAGAGCAGCTGACAATTGTCTTTTTTAAAAGAATGACCTCTCACAATCTTAAAATCATTATAGGTGGGATGTGGAGAACAAATACATATAAAATGCCCAGTGGTGAACAATGCACAGGTGAAATCCTTTTAAGAAGGGATCCCAATCTTTTTGAGGAATGAATTACTCAGACTCTGATAAAGAGGTGTGGGTAGCAGCATGATCATAGAGGGATCTATAAATTCAGATTACATCTTTTTTTTAATGAAAGGGAACAGCTAACATTGCTTCAGCTCCATTATCCCAATACCACTCGAAGAAGCACAATCTTTTAAGCAATGAGCTGCATATGTTGGCCATTGGTACCCGACAATCTACTAATCTGGACTTCATGATCTCAGTTACTCAAACTTCCAAGCCTCTTTGAGCACAATGATCTCATCATAATACAAAACTCAAACTAGAGTGCAATTTAGACCTAGAAGTGAGAGATGAAGTCCTGGTCTGAGCCTGTAGTTCCAGGCATGCCTCAGTACAGCTCTGCTTCTATGCTGCTTTATTCATCACCACACTCCCAGCACCACATAGAATCTGCCCCGAAACAACAAGCAATATAAATGAACACCTTAAGAGGGAAAATAGCCTAGTAATGAAGTTATGGTAACATAAGAAAGTATAGGATGTAACAAAAAAGGATCTGGTGGTAAAGATTCACCAGATTCTAAGTCTCAAAGAGTTCCAGATCACCCAGCTAATTCCTGGCCAGCTGGCAAAATACTGAGGAGGAGCCTCAAGAAAGATGAGCCAGGAGCAGTGGGTGCTAGATCTGGTGAGAGATAAGGAATGATGGTGGCAAGGCTGAAGGATGAGACAGTGCAAGAAACGTACACTTACAGAGCTTGTGGTTTGCTAAGGTTTGGCAAAGATATTAATAAAAGGAAAAAAATACAAAATATACAATCACTCAGAATGTATGCTGACGTTCTAAAACATCTACCAGTTAAATAACTGGTTATTATCAAGAAGACCAAGAGGAAAGTATAACTACTAAACACAAAACATTTTATAAACCTTTTAAATATCTTGTTTTCACATCAAAAAATCCATTTTTCCCAATTTATAAGACTCCAGCTTGAATGTCATAAATTTGACAAATTACCTCAAGTTTTTCTTTATTCTGAAGAGTTACAAAACCTTAAAACACACTCACCATGGCTCCTCGATAGTATGCTGTTGTGATGGTTCGAAATCTTTCCTGACCTGCTGTGTCCCTAAAATTTGAAACAAAGAAGAGAGTGGTTTTAAAAGATATCATCAGAATGACTGAGGAGAGACTCTAAACTGTAGGAGATATAACTGTGATCTGCTCACAAATGCAGCAGTGTCAGAAGAAAGTGGAATGAGACACAAAGGGGCCTGCTGGCATCTGTGAGCTGGGGGCGGTGTCGGCCAGGGGAGCTGTCAGGAGCTCACAATGACTGGGGTGAAAACTTGGACCTTGATGATAGAAGCTGAAACAGGAAAATACATGGGTCCTGCTAGGAACTGGCATGTTATATTAATCAAACACATGTGGGAGAGGAGAAAATAGCTCTGCATTCTTGGACTCCTAGAGGTAGTTATAATCCTTTTATAAATGCCTAATGATTTAAGGCATTTTGCTCTCTCGACTGAAAGCCTGATTTCTGCACAAAGCAAGCAAATGGCCTGGACTTACTACTGTGTAAATTCTGCTTAGCAGAGCACAATACAATGGATCTCTTCAAGAATTTTCTCAGCTATGGAACCCATAAGCAAATGGGAACCTGGAGTTCAACACATAATTCTTAACAATGTTCCATAGATTTTAAAATAAGAACAACACTTCAAAATTACATAAACTTTCATATATTCTTCCTTTCTAGTTGATGGCATACTATTAAAATACACTCTGAAAAACACAAAAGTTTCTAATCACATTTATTGAAGCAATTCCTACAAAGGAAGTCAAATCTCCCTGATAGCTGGGAAAGTCAATATCCTAAATTTGCTACTTGCAGCCAAAAACTAAGTTACTTTCTATGCTACTAAGATAATATACATTGTACAATTCAATTGCAGGTGGGAAAAGAGATATTAGTGGAAATATACTGGAAAGTGAAATGCAATGAACCCAAACAGGAGATGAAGGCTCATGGGAAATAGAGTGAATCAAAACCATTAATAAATACTTTAACACTTATGTATTCCTTACAAAATATTTCCACATGTGCTCACAGGATGTCACAGTGTGAAGGGTACTACCATCGCCCTCCTTCTGCAGAAGGAAGTGGGCTACTGTCATGCTCTGCACAAAGCAGCTCATACCCACGAATGAGATTCCAGTATCCCAGGTCTGAGCCGTTAGTGCAGGGCCAGCCCTCACATCACAGTCTCTTTTTACCCCACCATTCTCTCACTCATCAGGATTAGAACACAGGGCAATTGTCTGGAACACAGCAACAAATTGTAGGGAAAATAGAAATCAGTCATCTTTGAGCAGACCAACCACATCTTCTTGACTCTAACACACTACTTGATTTAGAACCAGCTTTGCAGTGAGGGTGGAGGAGTCTACCACACACATGTAAGCTGTAAAGGCTGAATGGAGACTATTTTCTTGCTGAGAGTATCAATAAATAGGGTCATGTTGTTACAGTCAGTCTATATTTAGTTCTAATTAGCTGACCACTCCTACAAACATTCTTTATTGGGATAATCAAGATTATTCAGCACATAGTAAGAAATTCTCTTTGCTCCCCTCTGAAATCTTCTTTTGGATATATGTAAAACATTTGTCTTCTTCACTAAATACTAATAGATAAACAGGGGAGCTTAGGGTAGCTTTCACAAAGCTTTCTAAGGGAGTTTCCTGGGAACCACTAAACGAGGCTAACACAAGAAGCTGAGGTGTGATGTTCCGGGAGGTTTGGATAGTGGTTTCAGCTTTATCACTAGCCCACACAGAGGCCCTCAAATGGGTTTAGTCACTCTAAGTCCTAGTTTCTTCTGTGAAAGAAGAGCTAGCAGATTACAGTATAATGTTCTAATTCTATCACAATTCCAAGGTTCAACAAAGAAAAAAAAAAATACCCGAGGGAAAAACCTAATATATATTACATTTTCACCCTATCTCTCCTTAGTCTATGCTACTACATGTTTTATCAAGTCCTGCCCTCACATACATTAGATCAGTAAAGATCATCAAAAACATCCAAGTCTCCAAATCTATGTGGCTCCATGGAAGGCCTTGTATTGTAAGAAATCTACCAGCTTACAGGAGGTAAAAAAAAAAATCTTAAGAAGAGCTTCTGGCTTGAAGCCAAAAATATCCAACCTGGCAATCTGCAAGAACCATATTTATTCACTGTAGTTTGACAAATTCTTTAGGAATTAACCAGTCAGAATTGGGGGGAACATAAGACCTTTGTCTTATGTATTGCAACGTGACAAATAAGAGGCAAAACTTTTTCTCTTATTTTCCAGTCCAGCGTTGTTCATTTCTTTTTTCAATTTAAAGATAAGAAATATGCAAATAAACTACAAAATATCAGAGCTGGTGGGGTACTCAGTATAACCAATCAATTTGTAAGTTAGGAAGAATAAGCCCAAAGAAGGGAAGCAACTGACATGAGGTTCTCAATTCAAAGAGAGTGGAGAGGGGGGAAATTCCTCTTTACTCTTCCTGGTTCTTTTGGCTGGTCAAATAATTAAATTGACACAGGTGGATTAATAGGAGGGGAAAAATGAATTTCTGCACAAGGAGGCTTGTGAATATATGACGTGTGAAATGAACAAAGCAGTAAGGTTCATATACCTTTCAATCAGAGAAACAATAAGCTGTTAAAGAATTGACTGGACAAAGAAACTCCAGGTTTGGACAGTAATTTAGTAAGAAATTAAAGCAGAGTCTATTTATCTAGGCTAAACAGGTCCTGGTTCTTTGTAAAGATAAAGATGTTTTCTACCACCTGGGCAGAGAGATTTATTTCTTGCTTTTAAGGAATCTGAGAGGGTCGGAGTCATTCTTGTATCAATTGATTAAGTAACTTTAATTCAATATAAACAATATGCCACTTTGGCACATTTTGGGGTCAACTGCCTTATTAGCCAGCAACACCAGAATCCAGACCTGTACTTCCAGTTCAAGGTTCCTATCATTTAACTACTTTGCCTTATCTGATTTTACAGCTACAAACAGAATGAGAAAGTAATTTACACTCTTTATAGTTTCCTTCCCCTGGCATTTTGGAGTAACGAAGTCTCAGATCTCTTCTGGCTAAAAGACTTAGTGATATCACTCCTTACCTTCCCACTTATGACTACTTATACATTACTATTGGCTGAGATCAAGATGTTTTAGGGATCACAGGATACCTCAAACTTACTACAATTCACATTTCAATGAAAAATTAAAGCAGGAACTCTGTTTATATATGCTACTTACCATATTTGAAGCTTAATTTTCTTTCCATCCAGTTCTATCGTTCTGATTTTAAAATCAATTCCTGCCAAAAAAAAGAACGACATGCTAAATTTCTTTGAATATAATCCAAGTCTTATTAAGAAAAGGACAAAGATTTCTATTGAAAAAAAGTTCTCCAACGCACTGGAAAATGTGAACACAGAGAGGGTGTGAATGGTATGTTTCCTCTGAATACAGGCTGAGGAAAGGAATGCTAATTACCCAGTAAAGAATTCCCACACATGTTAAATGCAATGTATTATATGCCTCATTATTTTGACACAAATGGATCATACCCCTCAAAGTTACATAATTTGAGGCAATGAGATTGAGAACATGCGATATTTTCCAGTTCCTGAAATACACATAAACAATGCTTCCCATACTTAAGTCCTATCCCTCCCTGAAGAAGATCAAAGATCTCCATGTAATGTATTCCTCCACTTATTTCTTTGGAATATATAAGTGAAAAACGTAACATCTATTTGCAGGCAAGACAGGAAAATCTGCATACTTATGTTGTACACTTAGCAAGGTTTTTACACATATTTTTAAGAAATATTGTCTGTATCTTACTGGTTAAAATTGAAATAGCCAGAATGGTTTTTAGTGCTGGCTATTCTTTAGAATTACCTTGAAAACAAAACAAAACAAAACACTAGGCATGTTCCCTTATTAAAATTCTGACTTCACTGGTCAAGGGTGGGACCTCTGTACTTGTCATGTTAAATGCTCCCCAAGGTAATTCTAATCTGTAAACAATACTCAACAGGGCTGGACAGTGCCATGAAAAATCTTTTGGCGTTCTAGCACTTCAAAAGTTCATGTACTTCCCTTTACCTATTTCCTCCCACTGTGATAGTTCAAGACTTAGCAATTTCAGCTACAAAGAATCACAATGTATTTGACAAATAGCAGCATGCTCTATCCTTATCAGGAATAAACTACTATTCTTCCTGAAGAGACTACAGTTAGGAATACAACTCAGATGCAGTTCACTAAAATACTCTATGTCTTAGCTATCAGCTTTGATTTAGCTTTTCCTTTGGTTTTATTTTTTTGCCTTCTATATAGATCCCCTTAAATTAATTTCCAATACATTTCAAGAAAACATGTAAATTATGTATTTTCTAAATTCACTTAAACATTAAGTGCATTCCTTTGGGGAGTGAGGTGGGAAAAGGGGCTACATTACTGTAATGTTTCCACATAAATGTTGACAGGACTCCAAAAGGCTGCTCCACAGCACCAACTTTATAAGCTACTGGCATAAACCCAACTGGATTTTTCCCTTCTTTGTATGGCCATTTTTCCCCAGGGAACCTCTGTAGGTATTCTTTATGAACCTTGAAACAGACAACAGTCACACCCAAGCTAATTTTGCAGAATAGCTTCTCAGTCATTCGTTCCCTTCACCAATAACCATGTACCGTTAACATACACAATCAGATACTCGATATCCCCCAGATTATTGGGCTCCCATTTCCTCCAAGGTACGCAGCTCTACAGGATTTGCGGAGGCAGAGGAAAACTTGGCAACACAGCATGTTACTGTTGTTTGTGTCACACAGAAATGTATTGTTACCAATTAGTCACTTAAGACTTTACACATTAATTTTCTGCGATTTATCTTTTTATATACCAGCAAATACAGTGTAAAAAAGGCCATCTAGGAATTCTTTGCTATCCTTTATCTCTCTTTGGCTCTGGCATCAAGAATACCCAATACCTGATAGGCACTCAACAAAATATTTCTTAGTAGAAATATTTTTTCAAATTTATGATTTTCCAGATTCATAAAAACAGATAATAAAATGGTGGTAACCAGAGGTTGGAGGGGGAGGGAAGAAAGGCAGGCTGTTGTTTCGCAAGTATAGCATTTCAGTTTTGCAAGGTAGAAAAGTTCTGGAGATTTATTTTACAACAGTGTAAATATACTTAAGCTACTGAGCTTTACACTTAGAAATGGTTAAGGTGGTAATGGTATGTGCTTTTTAACCACAATAAAAAAGAAAAAATTCATAGCTTTCAAAATGCTTACTCCGTCAGTACCTGGGAGGTGGGGGGAAGAACTTTTCTCAAACAGAAGGCTAATATACAACATTCTATCACTGAATAGCTCATTCACAATTTAAATAAGAGATGAGTAAATTCAAATGTCTGTTGAATTATTATTTTTCTTATTCTGGCTTAAGAGGGCAACTCAGGCTGTTGTTGCCTGTTGCTGGGAGTCAGGGTAACTTTTCCATGGCCATTCAACAGAGCCATTCTGAGGCTCCCTTAATGTCTCAGTTACTCCCCATTCATTACAAAACATTTAGCAAACTTTCTACTGCCCTACCCTTTTGTTATTTGTATTTGTTAGAAGGATTACCTTCCTGTTATTTGAGGAGGTCCTACCATTATCTATGATATTTAACCATCTTTTCATTATTCAGAGGCTTTCAATGTTTGTGAGAGTTGTGAATTGTGGTATTTGCCTTTTGTTTATGCCGCTGTTAAGAGCCAGTTGCTAGAACATGCGGTAGAGTACAAATTAGCACAACTTGAATTTTACTAAAAATAGAAAACATCATTTATGTTTTCACTGAAAAGAGCTACACAAGGAAGTCAAAAGACCTGGCTTGCAGATTGTCACTAACTTACAAGAGGTTGCTTAACCTGTCTGAACTTCTATATCTCTATCCATAAAAAGGGTTGAAAAGTTCTAAGCAGATAAAATGTTGGACTATGCTTTGGGAACTCTGAAATTCCATATAAATGTAAGATATTAACATTCCAATTCTATTATGCTACAGCCCTTCCCAGGTCACTGTGCCAGCATCTTTCCAGTCTAATTCTCCTGCATGCCACTGAGAGAACAACTTGCAATAATTCCTGTGGTCATATCACTATTCAAGAAGCTGTGGCTCTGACCTTCAGCCTACCAATGATCTTTCACACCAAATGGATGGATTATGGCATCCAATCCTCAAAGCCTCTCACCAACTTCTGCCTTCTGCTTCTCTCAGTTCCCCCCACCCAACCTCATGGCCATATTAATCAGCACGCTTCCTGAGGATGCCACTCCACCCATACAGTCCCTTCTCTCCTTCCCTCCTCAGCTCTCCCCTCCGTTAATGTTCATCCCAACTTCTGTGCCTTTGTACAGAATTCAACCTTGTGTTATTGGGCTTATTAACTCATTGTTCTGAGCTGCTCTCACATCATGCAAGAGCTCCATCCTCTCTTTGCCGGTTAGGTTGGCACAGAAATATGTACACAGTAGATACTAAATGAAAGGTGAAATACCCATATGTAATTCAGTAAAGGTTACTTATTACTAAATATGGTGAAAACAAAGAAAACCTTTGAAGTTCAGTTTTCTAGTGCACTATAGTAATAATAAGGATGTTAAAAAATCTTACTATAGTAAGAAAATTAAAATCTGCACATTATAAAGATTAGTTTGGCAATAATATCAGCAGAATATCATTCACTTTAAAACTAAAGAAAAGACAAATTCCTGAGATCACTCCAGGAGTAAAATGATGACCAGTCATAAGATTATAATAAAATTATATCAATTAGGATGTTTCTGTTGCAAATAACAGAACCCCAAATCAAACTAGCTTAAGGTAATTTGTTGACTCATAGAACAAGCCCCATAGTGAGTCGAGGTTCAGGGATGGCTCGATCTAATAGTTCCGGCTCATTTCTCTGTACGTCCTTTGGTTCTGCCCCCCTGGGAGTATCAATTTCATTCTCTGACTGATAGCAGTTCCTGACCACAACAGCAATACTGAGAAGAAAAGAGATCATCTTCCTGTGTCTCGCTCTTAAAAGTGAGGAGTTTGCCAAAACCTCAAGCAGTCTTTATTCCACATCTCATTTCTGGATTAAAACCAAGGGAATGTCATATTCTGGGGCTAATGCTGAGTTCCTGAACCAATCTTTGCAGTGGGCAATGACCAAATTGGATTAAATTAAAGTCATCCCTAAGTTTAAATTAATCAAGGGAAAAAGGACAATGCACAACCCGAGTAGCTGCCATAATATGACAGGGATCTTCACTGCCCATAGTTTCAAAGACCTGGCTTGTGTTCAAAGCCTAGAAAGTAAGAAGGGGCTGTCATACAAACAGTAGCAAGAACCACAGCTCACCCTGGCAGTAAGGGTGCAATTTTTTACGTTTAAAAGAATTACACAATCTCAAAAATACACAGCTTCTGAAAGGCATGACATTAAGAATCTAAAGGCCCTACATAACTAATAGCCTTTTGGAAAGCATCATTCTTTGACAGCACAGATTAATAATACGTGTTCTAATTGATGATGCTGTGTCATCTCAGCTCATAAGCAAAGTTTGTGGGCTGTGATTCAGCCTGCCCTCTGACAACACAGCCCAACAACTGTGGTCAGGACAAAAAACTCCAATGGTGCTTTCACGTTGCTCAAATATGCCTCAGCATTAATATTTGGATGACTTTAAAGCATTGGTAATTTCTTCATTAATATGTATCTACTCAATAAAATAATAAACTGTCAGAAACTATTTACAAGGGACTCAAACACACATACACACACATGCACAGTTTTTTTCCTGACCTGATTCTTAGGCTAAAAAGTTACTCATTGGCCCTCCCTGGTGGCGCAGCGGGTTAAAGC